ATATTTATTTTACAATTATGAGTTCATAAAAAAGTCACATATCAAATATTTTATTTATATCATATTTTTCTTTTAAATCGAATTCTTATTTACTTTAATATACATGTAATGAAAAAATAAGATCGAGATAATAAGGGTAACAAGTGCAGTTACAATTCCTAGATAATATTGTTCACAATGTTTCATTAAATCATCTTTATTAATAACTTTGCAAAATGAACATAATTTACAATTAACTTTTGACAGAAGTTTATATGCTTCATTATCTCCACTAGTTGCAGTTGATCCTGTTGCACAGTTTGTAGTTGCTTGCGCACTACTTTCTTCTTGTCCCATTGCAACAGTAAATTGTAATATGAATAACTTATATATTCCTATTAATTTAATACATTTTCGAAATGTCATATTATATGAAGAATTTATGGGTAAATTAAATAAGTTAAATAACGGCATTTGTAGGGAACATGTATTATATTTTTTTTAATTCTTTTCTATCCTCTAAACATATATCATTGTAAAACATAAATAATTTATTACTCTTATAATACACTGGTCGATATGGCCGCTGTTTGCATTTCTCAAGTGATTTTTTAGATGTTTTAATATTCTTCTTCATATTATGATTTGAATGCCACCATAAACAATAATAATAATCTATTCATTATTAATTTATATTTGTTTTTATTATTTATATAATAATGTTCTCTAATAAGCAAATAATTTATTTGAATAATAAATACACTAGTTACGCTAAAAGCATACTGGTTACATGCTATATCATATAATACAGATGTAACTATATGTTCTCTTTTAACCAGAGTAAATCACATTATATAATTTATGATGTTACAGCATATATAAATCGTTGCATTTATTATTAATTCTGTAATAAGCAAATTTTAAATCGCATATCAATGTAATGTTTTAATTCGATTACATAACGAATTTTACTTAAATAATGTTTTATGCTATAAATGTCTTCCAAAAATATTTAATTTATACTTTACTATTGTATATTGTGATGCATGCCTTTTCATTTAAGTAACACTATGCATGTAGACTAAAATAGTATTTAATACATATTAATGCTTCAAAAATTTATAACCAATAAAAAAATTTTGTCATAACAAAATATTAAATATAAGTAAATTATATATATAATTTTATGTAAAATGTTCTATTAAAATGCTGAACACTTTTTATGCACTACGAATCATGAAGAATTTTATTCTTTTTTTGGAAAATAAAAAAGTAGATAAACAACAGAATTTCAGGTTTAAAAAATAACATCTCATAAGTTAATACCTCTAAAAAAAAAATACATACGTATTTAATTATGTGTTCCTTTTAGATAATTTAATGGCCACATATTAAATCACTAGAAAATGTTTGCATAAATTTAAGGTATAAAATTTTCTCAGGAATAGTACACTCTACAAATATCCAAAATATGTTATAAATTATAAAATGTACTCTTTAACACGTATAGGTCACATATAAGGAAATAAAATAAACTATATCATAAAAAATTTTTAAAAGAATTTTTTGAGAATTTTTTTTCTCATTCATATGAACTTTTCGTTTAAAAATTAAACGATTTTTTTAGATTTTGATAGATTATCATATAAATTGTAGTTTTGTCTATTGTTATTAAGTTTAATCTTTGTAAATAATCAAGTTTATCATATTTTATTAATTGAAATATTCTTATGTTATTAAAGAAA